TTTTCACCCGGCCCACGAGGGCGCGGTTTTCCTGTATAGCAAGTTGTTGAAGGTCCGGCAAGCCCGAGGGCACAGCGGTGTAGGAATAATAATATATCCTTGTGCCTGGACTTCAGATAATTCATGTCGCCGGTCATGGCAAAGAGGGCCCTGTTTTGGGAGGCGAACGCCATATTCATGGCTGCCGTCCTCTCGAGCTTTGCCGGGCCGGTCTGGGTGGCACAGTCACTTGCCTGGACGACGCCGTCGGTGGAGTTATCTGAGTGCGGCTCGAGATACCGCTTTGCGAACTCTCTGATGTTTGACTTCCAGGCGTCGTACCGGAGCTGGTTTCGGAGCTGATAACTTCGGACAGCTCCATCCATTGACGGAAGAAAAGAGACGAGGATCGATGGTACGGGAGAGTGGCTTGATGGCACATAGACCAGTGCCGGAGTTCTTGTTTGCAAGGGCATAGTGGTTACACGCTGACTAGAGAGTCTCTGTACGACATTCCAAGTCTTGCTGGTCGTGGATAGCAAAGCATGTGTGTCGCGACTGACCTCTTCGCACGACCCTGGAGTCAGAGGCGTGCATCGAAGCGGAGCGACCGCGTCTTCCGAGAGTACACTCCCACCACAACGGCGAGATCAGTCGCCTTGCAGCCCGGTTATTGCAACTCGGCATCACTCCATGCCTTCCCGGCGCCGGTGTGATCCTGCTCGAGTGCTACCAATGTCTGGTCGGCTAGTCTGACGCTCAAGGAGTCCTCGTCAGAGATACTGATGCGGATAATCTGCTTCGGCTGTCTGCCGGAAACACCCACATTGATCCAACTAGGTTGCTCTTTCAAGCGAAGTCGTGTCCAGCGCTAGGCGCATTTCTGGATGATGCAGCAGCGGTCGCCATCATCAATCTCCAACGGACGGCTGTGGAGCGGGAAGCGGAGCAAAGAAGGCAAACCCTGACGAGACCTGACGAATTGCAATAGCGAGGGGATTTTTTAAGTGGCTTGAGAATGAGAGTTGGTATCTTTCAGTACCGTGGGGTGGTTGGAGTCAGCTTATTCATACGATTGTGCTGGGCTCGAACATAATCTGGGTAACCAACGCTTGAGGGTGTTAACTCTGTTGAGTGCAACTTGCAACTCGCAATAATTGTTCAGTGCATGAGTGAGGCATGTCGAGTTTTAAATCGTGACCTGGGCACAAAGCTTTTCGGTGAGAACCGGCCACATGCAGAGATACGTCAGTGGGACGGAATGTACAGACTTAACGTAGGTGTTGCTTTCACTCACGGCAGTCGCTGCCAGGCCACACATGCGGGCACGAATTCATGGAATTTCAGATGAATTTTCTGCTAAAAGTTTTTCCTGCTGAGCCCGCTCTCGCTTTTAATTCCCTCCATACGAGGAATTTCTTGACTCTCCGGAACAACTGGAAAATCCTCGCCACCACCAGGCGAGAAAGTATCTCAGCGAAGAGAAACAACAGCCTCCTAACTTAACCAGCAAGGTTTCTTAAAAAAGCATTCAAGTAAGCTTGGAAGTGATTCCTCAGACTCTCTCTGCTTGCTTTGGTAAATTGGAGTACCTCACCAATTCTTCACCTCCAACTCTTGGATTCGATCTGAAGCCATCACCACGACTACGCGGACCGATTGTTGCCCACACCTGCATCTGGCCGGAAAAGAGAAGTGAAACCCCCGGTAAATGTATACCAACACAATCTTCCCTTATTCAAGGCCCAGATTTGCTAATTCATCCGGACCATTTAGTGAGGAACATCGAGTGCACTGCCGGGAATGCATCAAATTCAAGATGAGTGACTCGAGCTTCATCTTCAGTGGCCTCCCAAGGGAATTCTGGGATAGGATTACCGAACATCTCTTTGCGAAAGACTGCGGCAACCTGGCAGTGACATCAAAGAAGATGGAGGAAATCTGTCGCGTGCGGCTGTGGGATAACACCAGATTTACTCCCTCTCCCAGAAAGGCCTCTCGGACCAGCTGCAGTGGTTCATCGCCAATCGTACGACAGATCGCTCGACGCCAAGTGACCGTCCTTTGTTCAATGAGTATATCAAGTAGGTTTTGACTTTACCATTTTCTCTGCGTTTATGGCATCTCACAGTAGCGATATGCGCAACCATCGACCTAAGACTTCACATCGCCGCCGGAGGCACCTTTAGATGGACGGCAGGTTCCGATACGCGTCAGCCATAGGACACCTGAGCTTGTGTCTCACCCGCACCTGCATCAACACATCCTGGGTGCGATATCCCTGATGCCTACAAACTTCAGTACCTCAACTTGGTATTTTCTGGAGTGAGACTGTCGAACACCTTGTGATGTGGTGCTTGGCCCCACCGTTGACTCGAAGATGGGAGAGAGCCGAGGTCAGAACGCGAAGGGACTTTTATTCTGTCCTACAGGGAATCAGTCCCAAAGCTGCACGGCTAACGGGGAGGATCCTGGACTGGCTGATGGACTCGGGGAAACTGCCGATGTACAGTCTGGCCAGGAGGCTGGAGCTGGAGCTCGCAGTCTGATACCCTTTCCTTCGAAGGCCAAGAGGCCTTCCCACTTTGTATTTGCAGGATCGCACACTGACCGTTTCCTTGATTGTCGATATGGGTTTTTCACCCGGCCCACGAGGGCGCGGTTTTCCTGTATGGTAAGTTGTTGAAGGTCCGGCACGCCCTAGGGCACAGCGGTGTAGGAATAATAATATTTTCTGGAGTCCTGTCATACCCGTCGTGGATCCCCGGTTATTCTGAATCTCAGTTGACCCGGAGCCAAATCATCACCCTCCGAGAGAAGTTAAGAATTCTGTGTCATAGGAAGGGGAGCTGGTCGTCGGTAAGGGACCTATGCGTCATCACAGGCAATGAATATGGCCTACAAGGTGGGCTTGAGGACCTTGCGGCCGACAATCTAACGGACATGGTGTCGAACCTGGAAGGGTTGCACTTGGAAGGCGGCACGGAGTGGATAGCCTTCCATACAGCATCGGTCAAGCACGAAGGCCTGGAGCGGCTCGCCATAGCACTCTTCGAGAATGAGGTACTCGAAGGGCTGAAGCACTGAACGCTGATGCTCCGGAGCGGATCCATGACAATCTCCTGGGTTGGAGACCCTAGTCCTCCTCGAGAAAAACCCCGAGGCAGGGCCGAAGACGAACAACAGCGCTCAGTGTCAACGACTCAGCGCGTCTCCCGTGGCTTGCTCGGGGAATCGCCACTAACACTCGATATAGTCTTCCGAACTTGATCAGTTCACCGAGGTCCTTGAAGACCGTATGTCAACTCTGCATCGACTCTCTTTTCAATGCCTCCCAGACTTTTGGTCCTCGCGCGAGATGCAGCTGAATAGGCAGCAAACAGGGAGCCGCAGACAGTATCTTTTGACATGGTACACTGAGATGATCCGGCGCTTCGAATCGGTTCCTCATCTGCGGGCCGTTGCCATACTCGCCGACTACCCAGATTACTATATGGGGGAAAGGGATGCCGGAGGTCAGCCGTTTCGAGTCTCAAAGGAAAACGCAGGGGATGTCTCACGCGGTGCATAACCATTCAGCATTCGAGAATAGGGGCCTTCTAGCCATCTATGAAGACCATCGATAGCGGAGAGGCAGTAGCAACCAGGGGATTCTCCATCAGCCTTAGACGAAACCTAAGATGGATAATTTGAAGTTATTACATGGCATTGTCTGAGCTGATTGTGACGGGAGTCCGAATGAGGACACGGAGAACGGCAAGCCCTCTGTGTGGGAGGACAGGTAGGGAACGCAAGGTTTGAAAGGTATTGATTTCGACTTCGGAAATAGCCAAGCAATTGGATGTGGGTGTTGAATGCATCCAAGCAAGCACTCTGTTCTACGGAGCTTGGTAATCCTGAGGATGACGGTGCCTGGGTTCCTGAGCAAGTCAGTGGACTCCCGCAGCTCATTGCCAGCACTCAAGGAAGGGCATGCTGCAAGGGGTTTTCTATCCACCGTCATTCCTCACCATGCATAGAACAAAGATAAGACCAACCGTCTGCAGTGGTCTGATCACACCGGCCAGCATGCTGTTAAAATCGCGTGCCTACGAAAAGGAGTCACGCTTTCAGGACTATATAGAGCAGTGGCAAGAGGCTATCCATGCCCAGCAATTGAGCAGGAATGCAATATACCTTGTGTGTGCTGCCTACTTCTTCTCCTTGGACTTGGACTTCGCTTTCGTCTTCTCCTTCGGCCTGTCCTTCGTCTTCTCCGTGAATTTGCCCTTAGCCTCATCGGTGGATTTCTCCTTGGGCTTCTCACTGGACTGCTCCTTCACAGTCTCCCTGGGCTCCGCCTCCTCGTTCGCAGCCTTCTTGCCCTGGCCCTTCTTCAGGGCCCTGGGATCCAGACCACGCCTCCTCATGGCGTTGCGCTTGGCACGCTCAATGTAGTCCTCGTCCTCGTTGTCGTCGAAACCGCCAAATTCGTCTCCCTCCTCCTTGTTGTTGCCTTCCACACCGATAGGGGTCTTGTCGATGACCTCGTCTCTGTTTCCGTCGCCGGCGACCTTGGCGCTGACGGCATCCTTGTCCTTCTTGCCGTTGGCGAGAACAGCATTGCCTGGAGTAGGACCAATCTTCTTGAACTTGGCCACGAAGAACCCGTCGACATTGTACAGGTGCGGGTAGTACCTCCGCGTCAACTTGAGACTGAGGTGGAATGATTTGCCCATGTAACTGGTGAAGCCTTCCTTGCCAAACGGCAGACCGGTCTGGATGGGGTGAGCATCTCATCAACTCTGTTGGAGTGAAACCAGCATAAGGCTTACCTCGACAAGCTTGACATTTGGCCGGCGGCTCAGTGCGTAGGCGACGACTTGCTCACTGCATAAAGAATCAGCATGTCTTGATGCCAAGTGCATCGGACCATCACACTCACTTCTCCTCAACCGCCACGCTACATGTCGAGTAGACCACGTAGCCGCCCGTCTTGCTCGCATGGTTTACCGAGTCGATGGCCGCCAACAGCAGCTGCTTTTGCGTGTGGGGTAGTTGTTGAAAGTCCTTTTCATCTCTGTTGGTCTTGACTGCGGGATCCTTGGCAATAACGCCAGTTCCTATGGGCCGCGTCAGTATGGGGTGGGAACAAACGGGAATTCTTCTTACTAACCAGTGCAGGGCGCATCCAACAGCACTCTGTCGAAACCCCCAATCACGCGAGGGAACTCCCGCGCATCGTAGTTGCATACAATTACATTCTACCGAGTTTCCAGTCAGCAGGTCAAAGCCATAATGTTGTGCAGTCCATGGTCCTTACACGAGCACCGAGGCGGTGAATGTTGCCAATTAGACCCTTCGCACGGGTCTTGCTGGGATCATTTGCAAAGACAACACCCGTGTTCTTCATCAGCGCCGCCATGTGTGTTGTTTTGCCACCAGGAGCTGCGGCCATCTGTTTGGAGAGATCCGTTAGCACTACCAAGCTGCAAGCCTCGAGTTTCAATAACCTACATCGAGCACACGCTCGTTCTCCTGGGGACACAATGCCATGACAGGAAGAAACGAGGATGCGGCTTGCAGGATGTAATGCCCGGCCAAGTACTCGGGAGTAGCACCCAATGGTACACTGACGATGGGTTAGCTTCAACACGAGTTAGATTTGCCGCAGATTGAGATCATACCTCGACTCGAACACTTGCAGACCGACCTTGGACCATTTGCCAACCGGCTCAAGGGTCACGCCGCGGTTGACTACAGAGACCCGCATTAGAGACGTCCGATCACAGGAATCGGGGCATAACTTACTGAGAGCTTGCGCAAGGTCACGGCGATGTGTCCGGAGAGTGTTTGTGCGAATAACCACAGGGCGAGCAGTCTAATTCCTCTGTTAGCTTCGAAAGAAGAGAGACCACGCTCCCAACACGCACCTCATTGGCTTCGAAGAACGCGAATGCCTCTCTTGGCGGGAAGAGATTGCTGGGATTTGTTAACAGATGTGCCCTCACGGTGGCACATGGCACACGCGAAGTGATCTGAGCAACTTACAAGAGCTTCTCTGCCAGGAATTCGTTGTATCCATAATCTGTGAACCGCTGTCAGCATGCGGGCTCTGGAAGGGTTGGAGCCAAATGATGCGACATACAGGCACAGATGTCCTTTAATAGTTGGCTGGTGTACTCCGCTCGGCTCCGTCCTTCTTCTGCCAGGTTCGTGAAATCCTCCAGCACCCGAATGGTTTCCGTTATCCTGGTCCTGAGCATCTGAAGGTCGGGTGCCAGGAGGCCCTTCGTCTTTGACGACAGCTCATCCTCCTCCTCCTCATCACCAAGAATATGGGGCTTGTCGCCATCGATGTTTGTCTGTAAAGCCTCCTCGCGTAGCTCGGCCTCATTCTCCTCCGCTTCTCTGGCCCGCTGCTGGTCCAGTCTCCTCGAGAGACCCTCGATGTTGGCGGCCGTCAACTTCTCCTCCCTGTCCTCATCATCCTCCTCCTCGTCGTCCGAGAAGACAAACTTTTCCTTCTTGGCATTCTCGGCATTCTCCTGGTCCGAGTCGTAGACTGAGTCGTCGTCAGAGCCAAGGAAATCGTCACCGAGCTTTGCCTCGTCCAAGTCGGAGCCACTGGCGCCATCCAAATCGGAGGCACCAAACTCATCGTCCATCTCTTCGTCCGAGACGGGCTCTGGCACGGCAGCCTTCTTCGGCTTCGTCTTGGCGGCTTTCAGCCCATTCTCTGAGGAACCGGGTGCCTTCTTGGTGCCATTGGCTTGTTTCGTTGACGGCTTCGATGTGACAGCGGCCTTTCCAAGCTCCTCACGGGCCTTCTCGGCAGGTTTCTCTGGCTTTGCAGACGTGCGACGCTTCTTGCTGGAGCGCACCTCGGTCGTAGTGTCGTCGACTGGAAGGCCCTTTTTCCGTTTGAGGTTGGAAAAGTGTTCTTCAGACAGCGGCTCAGGAGGGCCCTGTTTCTTCATGCGACGTCCAACACCCATCTTGGCGAGTTTGTCGGCGGCTTCTCGCTTTTTGGCCCGCAGATCTTTGCAACGAGAGGATCAGTCAACCAGGGGCGCGGGCTCGCAATGGAATGCCAATTTTCTTGAAAACCGTTATCGATAAGCCTCAGGACAATTGGCATGTTACTGTACGGACGTACTTACTGATAAACTCCCACTAAGCCAAGTCAGCACCCTTGTCGGCTGACGCTCCCGTCACTCCTGACGAGCCCAGCGCAACAGGCACGGAAGCAGCTTGCTCTTCTATTCTCAAACAGATCGCTCTAAAAGTACCCACATCTGGAGTCCTGCCACACAACAAGCACAGCAAGCTGGAGCCTCATTTTCCTCAAACCGCGCGTAGGCAACGAATCTGCACCTTCCATACCGCGCCGACTCAAGAGACGACTGCCTTTCCAACTTGCTTGCTTGATTCTTTTCTCAATTGAGCAGGCGCTTTGGATTGCGGGCTTCTTTTGATTTCTGGCTCCGCCCGACGTCCCGACCCAGCTCCACCAACTCTGACCCCCTTTCAACGTCACGATTTCAAGCTTCCCGACGTCCATCGACGAAACAACAAATTTTGGCGAGTTGGGTAGTACTCTTTCTTGACCACGCGCAGCCGAGCGCATTCAGATTATCATGGCGCCGGCGTTGCCGATTAAGTTCCAGGAGCTGCTTCAGCTCAGCAGCTTGGGCGTCAGCCAAACCGCCATCACCTTTAACAGCTGCGTACGATTTCATCCCATTCCCTCATTGGCCGTTTCTTCTTTGCCTCGCTGACGCCGGACTCCTTGACAGACTCTAGAATCCGATTCCTTCGTCTGCCTTCGAGAGAAAAAAGATGAGGCCACGCCGCCCGAGGTGCTCATCGTCGACCTCAAGAACGCCAACAATGTCATTCGCCGACCTATCAAGGCCGACAGCGCGATAATGCACTGGTCGCGCCAGGTCATTGCTTTGAGGGCCCAGTCACGGACGCTGCAGATTTTTGATCTGGAGCAGAAGCAGAAGCTCAAGTCTACCACCATGACCGAGGATGTTGTGTTCTGGAAGTGGACCAGCGAGACGACCCTCGGCTTAGTGACAGAGACCGCCATCTACCACTGGGACGTCTTTGACCCCACGCAGGCGTCACCGGTCAAGGTGTTTGACAGAAATGCCAACCTTCAGGTAGGCGACATGTTGTTGGCTGGTTGGAGCGCTGGATGCTGACAAGGAACAGAACAATCAGATCATCAATTACCGGACCAGTGCCGACGGCAAGTGGATGGTCGTGGTCGGCATTTCGCAGCAGCAAGGACGCGTGGTTGGCGCCATGCAGCTCTACTCCAAAGATCGCGGCATCAGCCAAGCGATCGAGGGCCATGCTGCTGCATTCGGTACCCTCCGACTAGAGGGCGCCCCGGAGGACACCAAACTCTTTACCTTTGCCGTCCGGACCGCCGTTGGCGCGAAGCTGCACATCGTCGAGGTTGACCACCCCGAAACGAACCCGGTATTCCCCAAGAAGGCAGTGGACGTTTTCTTCCCGCCAGAAGCGGCCAACGACTTCCCCGTCGCTCTTCAAGTTTCGCAGAAGTACGGCATTATTTACCTTATTACCAAGTACGGCTTTATCCACCTCTATGATCTCGAAACGGCGACATGTATTTTCATGAACCGTATCTCGGGCGAGACCATCTTCACGGCCTGCGGCGACAAGGACTCAACAGGTGTATTGGGCATCAATCGGAAGGGTCAAGTTCTCTTCGTCAGCGCCGACGAGAACACGATCGTTCCATACGTCCTCGAGAGCCACGGCACCGAGCTCGCACTCAAGCTGGCGTCTCGCGCCGGTCTTCCCGGCGCGGACAACCTCTACCAGCAGCGGTTTGAGCAGCTCTTCAGCAATGGCAGCTACCAAGAAGCTGCCAAGGTCGCCGCGAATTCACCTCGCGGCTTCCTGAGGACGCCGCAGACCATTGAGCGATTCAAGCGGCTCCCTCAGCAGCCGGGCCAGATGTCACATATCTTGCAGTACTTCGGCATGCTTCTAGACAAAGGGTCACTTAACCAGCACGAGACGATCGAGCTTGCTCAGCCTGTTCTAGCCCAGAACCGAAAGCAGCTGCTACAAAAGTGGCTGGCCGAGAACAAGCTCGAGTGCTCAGAGCAGCTTGGTGACATGGTTCGCCCTCACGACATGGCCATGGCCCTGGCCATCTACCTGAAGGCGAATGTGCCTCACAAGGTCGTCGCTGGGTTTGCCGAAACGGGCCAGTTCGAGAAGATCCTCCCGTACTGTGCTCAGGTTGGCTATAAGCCCGACTTTGTTCAGCTCCTGCAGCACATTGTCCGCGTCAACCCGGAGAAGGGTGCGGAATTCGCCACCACGCTGGCCAACCAGGAAGGCGGGTCGTTGGTCGATCTTGAGCGGGTGGTGGACATCTTCCAGTCTCAAGGCATGGTCCAGCAAGCCACCGCCTTCCTGCTCGATGCTCTCAAGGACAACAAGCCTGAGCAGGGCCATCTTCAGACCCGTCTTCTGGAGATGAACCTGATCAATGCCCCGCAGGTCGCGGATGCCATCCTGGGGAATGACATGTTTTCTTACTTCGACAAGGCGCGCATTGCCAGTCTCTGCGAGCAGGCCGGCCTTTTGCAGAGGGCACTGGACCTGTACGAGGACCCCGCCGCCGTAAAGCGCGTCATTGTCAACATCGCCGGGACGCCCAACTTCAATCCCGAATGGCTCATCGAGTACTTTGGCCGCCTCTCCGTTGAGCAGTCAATCGATTGCCTCGACGCCATGATGAAGCACAACATCCGCCAGAACCTCCAGTCTGTGGTTCAAATTGCCACCAAGTATGCCGAGCTTCTCGGTCCCCAGCGCTTGATTGACCTGTTCGAAAAGTACAAGACGGCCGAAGGCCTCTACTATTTCCTCGGCAGCATCGTCAACGTCAGCGAGGACCCCGAGGTCGTCTTCAAGTACATCGAGGCTGCCACCAAGATGGGACAGATCCGCGAGGTCGAGCGCATCTGCCGCGACAATAACATCTACAACCCTGAGAAGGTGAAGAACTTCCTCAAGGAGGCCAAGCTTAGCGAGATGTTGCCGTTGATGGTTGTCTGCGACCGCTACAACTTTGTGCACGACTTGGTGCTGTACCTGTACCAGCACCAGCAGTTCAAGTCCATTGAGATCTACGTGCAGCAGGTCAATCCCTCCAGGACACCTGGCGTCATCGGTGGTTTGTTGGATGTCGACTGTGACGAGAGTATCATTAAGAACCTTCTCTCCACCATCAACCCGATTTCCATCCCGATCGACGAGCTGGTTCACGAGGTCGAGACGCGCAACCGGCTCAAGCTGCTCCTCCCCTTCCTCGAGGCGACCCTGGCTGCCGGCAACCAGCAGCAGGCTGTCTACAATGCCTTGGCCAAGATCTACATCGACTCCAACAATAACCCCGAGCGGTTCCTCAAGGAGAACGACCAGTACGACACTCTCACTGTCGGCAAGTACTGCGAGAAGCGGGATCCCAACTTGGCCTACATTGCCTACCGCAAGGGTCAGAACGATCTCGAGCTCGTCAACATCACGAACGAGAACGCCATGTACAAGGCTCAGGCGAGGTATCTCCTCGAGAGAGCGGATCAGGAACTCTGGATGTTTGTCCTCAGCGAGAACAACCTCCACCGGCGCTCCGTGGTCGACCAGGTCATCTCGACCGCTGTCCCCGAGTCGACAGATCCCGCCAAGGTTTCGGTTGCTGTGTCGTGTTTCGTGAGTGCCGATCTTCCGGCTGAGCTCATCGAGCTCCTGGAGAAGATCGTCTTGGAGCCGTCACCGTTCAGCGACAACCAGAACCTTCAAAACCTCCTCATGTTCACCGCCGCCAAGGCGGACAAGGCACGCGTTATGGACTACATCCACAAGCTCGACAACTTCTCGGCGGACGAGATTGCCACCGTCTGTATCGAAGTCGGCTTGCACGAGGAGGCATTCGAGATCTACAAGAAGATCGACAACAAGGAGGCTGCCGTCAACGTGCTTGTTGAGCACGTTGTTAGCATCGACCGCGCCCAAGCATACGCGGAGGAGGTGGACATTCCGCAGGTCTGGAGCAAGGTCGCCAAAGCTCAGCTGGACGGTCTCCGGGTCAGCGACTCGATTGACTCATACATCAAGGCAGAGGACCCCAAGAACTATGAGGAGGTGATTGAGATTGCGGTCGCGGCGGGCAAGAATGAGGAGCTCATCAAGTACCTCCGCATGGCCCGCAAGACGCTTCGCGAGCCTGCCATCGACACCGCCCTTGCTTTCTGCTATGCGCGCCTCGACCAGCTCGCGGAGCTCGAGGACTTCCTGCGGGCGACAAATGTCGCAAACGTTGAAGAGTCGGGAGACAAGGCCTACGCGGAGGGTCTCTTCGAGGCGGCTAAGATTTTCTACACGAGCATCTCCAACTGGGCCAAGCTCGCCACCACTCTAGTTCACCTCGCCGATTACCAGGCCGCCGTGGACTGCGCGCGCAAGGCCAACAACATCAAGGTCTGGAAGGAGGTTCACGAGGCCTGCGTTGGCAAGAAGGAGTTCCGCCTGGCCCAGATTTGCGGTCTCAACCTCATTGTCGACGCCGAGCAACTTCAAGCCCTCGTCAAGCAGTACGAGCGCAATGGCTATTTTGATGAGCTCATCAACCTGCTCGAGCAGGGTCTCGGTCTGGAGCGCGCGCACATGGGCATGTTTACCGAGCTGGGCATTGCCCTGTCCAAGTATCACCCTGAGCGCTTGATGGAGCACCTAAAGCTCTTCTGGAGCAGGATGAACCTGCCCAAGCTGATCCGGGCGTGCGAGGAAGCCAACCTGTGGCCCGAGTTGGTCTTCTGCTACTACCACTATGACGAGTTTGACAACGCGGCGCTCGCCGTCATGGAGCGGCCCGAAAACTCGTGGGAGCACCAGCAGTTCAAGGAGATCACGGTCAAGGTGGCCAACCTCGAGATCTACTACAAGGCCATCAACTTCTACCTTGAGCAGCACCCGTCGCTCCTCACGGATCTGCTGCAGGCTTTGACGCCGCGCATCGACGTGAATCGGGTGGTTCGCATGTTCCAGAAGTCGGACAACCTGCCGCTGATCAAGCCGTTCCTGCTCAACGTGCAACCGCAAAACAAGCGCACCGTCAACGATGCCATCAATGACCTGCTCATCGAGGAGGAGGATTACAAGACGCTCCGCGACTCGGTTGAGAACTACGACAACTACGACGCCGTGGACCTCGCCGGTCGCCTTGAGAAGCACGACCTGGTCTTCTTCCGTCAGATTGCTGCGAACATCTACCGCAAGAACAAGCGGTGGGAGAAGTCGATCAACTTGTCCAAGCAGGACAAGCTCTGGAAGGATGCCATTGAGACTGCCGCCATTTCGGGCAAGTCTGATGTCGTCGAGGAGCTTCTGAGATACGTAGGTGCAGCCTTGCCTCTCATTCTGTACAGTCTACTAACGTCCGTCATAGTTCGTCGACATTGGCAACCGGGAATGCTATGTCGGCATGCTCTACGCGTGCTACGACCTGATCCGTCCTGACCTGGTGCTGGAGCTGTCGTGGCGCAACGGCCTCCACGACTTCGCCATGCCCTACATGATCAATCTCCTCTGCCAACAGACCAAGGAGCTGGCGACGCTCAAGGCTGACAATGAGGCGCGCAAGGCCAAGGAGAAGGAGAAGGAGAAGGTTGAGGACAACACGCCCATCCTCGGCGGCAACCGGCTGATGATCACGGCCGGGCCGGCCGCGGCTGGCGGTGCGCCCTCGCCGTACATGCAGACCAACGGGTTTGCCCCGCAGCCGACCGGTTACGGCTTCTAGAGGTTGTTTCGGTGGTTAATGAGCGGCCATGCCTCTTCGATCCCTAACAGGGCCGCTGGTACTATCCATTTTGATATTCCTGGCGAGCCTGGCAAGCCTGTGAAGGTGGTGGAACTTTGTCCAGCATCGTCTGGGAGTTTGTTTCCTGGAGGGGGAGGGCGGATAGAAGAGGGGGTGCGATGGGATGTGGGCGCGGGAGGGCTGGATGGGTGGGTTTCTGGGGCTGATCTTGGGGGCTGCTGCTGAACACAGCGGGAGGATATCCCTGTTCTAGTACAACATTTGTACGATACTTATCAATTTTATGCAAATCTCTGCCCCTTACTTTATTGCTTGCCTAGGTTGTTTCTCGTATTAGTAATATGTGACTGCCTTATCCCGAGTCCTCAATCTAGAGTTATTTGTTTGTTAGTGTAGAACTTGGTAAGAGAACAAGGAAACTACTTACTTATCTAGTGGTTACCTTGTCTTCTTTTCCCTTTCCTTGCCTTTTTTTTTCTTTTCTTTTCTTTTCTCCTCTTTCCTTACTTTCTCTCTTTTCTTTGTTTTCTTTCCTTCTCTTCTCTTTCTTAGTTTCCCCCTCTTTTCTTTCTACTTTCCCCCCCTCTTTATCCTACTTTCTATCTTCCTATCTTCCTGCTTCTTACCTTCTTCCTGGCAATCCCTATTTTCATTTTCTAACTAACCGAGCTAACTTAGAGCCTGCCATATGCTACGTACTGTAACAACAAACTAGGGTGAAATTGTATGTTGTACGATTCTCGTTTCTATGGCTACACTGTCCGATCTAACTTACTCCTGAAAATACCGGCCCTCCGCCTTCGTATATGGAGTGTTCGTTATCTAACTAGATGCTTCGATTATCTATAAGATACTGTTCAACCTTAACGTACATTATAAGCGAACGGCGCATATAGGCGAGTGGCGCACTGATAAGGGCTAGTATGGAAATCTGGGCACAACACTAACAACTTATTCCCAGATTAATCCCGCTGTTAGTGTTGTGCCCGAATTTCCATACTGGCCCTTATCAGTGCGCCACTCGCCTATATGCGCCGCTCGCTTATAATGTACGTTAGTTATTTGTTAGCACAGAACTTAGGCATTACACTTATCTTCTTTCCATTTAGCTTTGCTATGACGTTATTCTTTCGTTTCTTCTTCCATCATTATCTTTATCTTCCTCTCCCTCTTCCTCTTTCTCTCGTCACCTTACTTTTTGTCTTGATGTTTTATATTTCTCTTTTTATTATCCTTCCTTGTTTTCTTACAATCCAGGTTGCTTGAACTGCACTTTCCTATTCATGTTTAGTGTCCGCTATGTGCCACGCTTACGAACAACCAGGGCTGGATTGTATATACACGCAAGTCCAAATCCTGCAGTGCCGGCGCTGGTTTCTGAAGACTCGTCCAGGAAGTAATTCACCCAGCCCTCCAGCTCCCCGTTTTGCATGACGATCCTGTCAATTTGAGGTGCCTCGTTTCCAAGTTGTATAGTTACCTGGCCATACATATCCAGCCATCTGCTTGCCCCTGAGCGCGAAAGTTGCCTCATCATGCCTTGGCCGGCTCGACAGCTTGCGGGTAGTAGAACAGCTCTGCCGGGTCAAACTGCTTCTTGAGCTGCCTCAAGCGAGCGAGGTTCTGCCCGTAGTAGGCCTCCTGCGCCGCAGTTTGGTTCAGCCTTGGATCGGCGTAATTGATGTACATGCCCCACTGTGTCGTGTCCAGGCCGGCGGTGAAGAGCTTGACCCAGTCGTCTAGGAAGGCGAACCCGTCGGATGGGTATGAGCCCCGCATGGTGCGGTCGTAGAATTGGTAGAGGAAGAGGTGGGTGTTGGGATCGCGATATGCGAAGGAAGTGGCGTCGGCTGGGACCTTGGTGATGGCTGAGTTGGGGCCGCCGTACATGTCGACCTAAGGTAGTGTACTATTATCAGTATTCTTTGCATGCATAGAAGGAGGTGCGGGTACGGAAGAGGAGGCGGAACTCACCATCAGGTACCAGGACCGGCTGTTTCGTCTGGCCGTGTTGACCCAATAGTTGGCGATGCTCTGCAGAGTGCTGTTGGAGAGTGCCGAAGTCACCAGGCTCTTGGAGTAGAATGTTTCAGTCTGGCCGATCCATATCCAGTCAGCAAGCTGGCATCCGTGATTCATGATCGGCATCATCGGGGTCTTGCGGTTCAGGGGTGGCGTTGTCCTTTGCACATACCGCACTATAAGGACGGGTAATGTCGATCTGTTGACTGTAGGCGTAGTGCGCAAAGGCTCCCATCCAGTCGTCCTGCTCAACACTTGAGAGTGTCGCGTTCAGCCTGGTGAGGAGCGGCTGGATGGCTGTGCGTAGTGCCGATGAGTTGCCGTGATACATGCCCTGCAGTTGTGTTTGAAACCCGTTGCCGAAGAGCCGCATGTTCATCTCCCTGGGCATGCCTCCAGTCTTGAGCCAGTCCTGAAGGCTCGCCCAGCCCTCAGCAATGGCAGACGCGTTTGTCCACCGCAAGTTAACCACGTACGTGCTCAGCTCGGTTGGTGCGGGAAAGGTCTTGAATCGGAAGGATGCCACGATCCCAAAGTTGCTTCCCGCGCCTTTAAGAGCCCAGAAGAGATCCTTATTCTGCGTCTCTGAAGTTTCCACAACGGTGCCATTGGCGAGCACTACGGTGGCGCCAACTATCCAGTCGAGAGCCAAACCGTATGTGTGCGAGCTGAAGCCAAAGCCCCCGTGTAGTGCATGCCCGCCGACACCAACGCTGCGGCAAAGTCAACATCAACCTCTATTATTTCCCAAGGCAAGGGAATGGTAAATCCATACCCGGGGCATGTTCCATGGCTGAAAGCCCTCTTTCCCTGCTGGTATATGAGCGTCGCCACATGGCCCAGCCGTGCTCCCGGCTGAACTGTCGCAATTTGCGTGGCATTGTCCAGCGTGACGTTGTTCATGCGGTCGAGTTGCACAACGAGATGGCCGTCCTCGCCGCCGAGACCGAAAGATGCGTAGCTGTGCCCGCCAGATTTTGGGTTCACCTTGACCCCTACCTTTGCGGCACAAGAGACGGCGGCGCGGATGTGTTCCACGGTGGTGGGAACTGCGATGGCGGCTGGGGTATATTGGAGTCTTTGGTTGAACGCCCTTACGTCGGCCACCCAGTCAGTTGAGCTCGGAGCATCGACTGGCACTTGGGCCGCGCTCAGACAGTCGTCAATGGCCGCTCTTTTGGTAACACGAAGGGCATTAGCGGTGGCGGCGCCCAGGACCACCACCATGGAACAAAGCTTCAAGGAGGGCCACATTCTATCAAGAAGTCTGAGCAGAAAGGGGTTTACACAAATCCCGATCATCGTCAAGATCAACGAAGGAAGCCTGTTGTACATGTATACCCGACACAAACCCGGGGCTCGGTTCCAAGGGTTGCAACGCGACGATCATTCCTTGGCTACGCTGCATATTGGCTAAATATCAACGGCTTTTGTGTTCGGCTCGTTTATGGAAACATGCTCCCTGCTACCTGGTAACCGTACAGCTGCGATGACGAACCAAAACGAAGGCATCACAAACCCGATTGGGCCGCTTCATCTGGAGGCTCGAGAGATGCAACACCCCAACAGACCGTCCGTCAGCCTTTTTGATGACTCGCTCGGGCCAGTCCAGTCTTGGCCTCAATTTATGATCCTCCGAACCTCGATGCGGTCTCGGCGATCCAACTTGCATACCCCAATTTGGATGTGTTTCAGACTTACCACAGCGCAGGGGAGTAGGAGTAATACAACCTTGATTTATTCTGACCCTGGCAGTCCAGTCTCTACAACCTACTAGGTACTACACTAGCAAACAAATCATAGGCCAAGCGCCTCGAGTACTTTCTGGACCTTGTTGACAAGCTTGTTGCCCTTGACATTGATGTCTTAGGTATCAAGGATATCCCCTATGCCGCCACCTTACTTGTCGGCTCCATTCGGAAGAGGTATCCCCGACCTGCCGATCCACGTCCACACCCATCATGAGGAAAAGATGTTGGCCTCGCGTGAGAAGGTAGTATCGCTGTCACTTCGCGAGTATCCCCTCCAGATTGTAACCTCACAATTGAAACATGACACATTGTAGACTGTGGTTCCGTGTATACGAATTGGAGTATGAATTGGACTCTAGGAAGCTATCTCAGCAGCAGACGCCCTTGAACACGCGTCCTCCTTCTGGGGTTCCCGTATACTCCCCTGCATAGAGTCCTTTCCACAGGGCGCTCGTGTCTAAGGGCGCCGATCCCTCCCCCTTGACCCGCGCTTGAGCTGTCCTCGTACCCGCCTGCTCGCCTTGTTACTTATTAGCCAGACAGATACCCTGAAAGACTATTGCAGGCATGACCGCCAACACGATTTAGCCATCTTGAATTTGCCCGTGTCCCCGACGAGGGTGAGGCGATAAGTGGCACGCTTGGAGTTTGCAGATTACAGAGCAACCGCTCATTTGCCCTCGCTCCCCTTGACGATGCGGCAAACAAGGTCTGAGCCGTCGACTGAGTCGCCCTCGCGCACCACGAGCTGGGAGACAACGCCCGCGTGGGGAGCCGAGATGACCATTTCCTGAGGACGCAAGTTAGCAATTCACTATCATGAAGTTGGACATGGGTGGGAGAGTGACATACCATTTTCATCGCGCTCAGCACAGCAAGCGGATCGCCCTTCTTAACCTCGCTGCCGTCGTGCACGCGCAGCTCAACCAGCACACCAGCCATGGGCGCGCCGACCTGGCTCGAGTCGCCGGGGTCGGCCTTGGGCCGGCTGACGTTCTCGACCGACGCCTTCTTGTCATCGACCGTTACCTGGCGCACCTCGCCGTTCATCTCGTAGAAGACCTCGCGTTGGCCCGTGTTCTCAGACAGAGGGCCGACGGCCAGCAGCTTGAGAATGAGTACCTTGCCCTTTTCGAGCTCGACATGGAACTCCTCGCCAATCTCGGGCTTGGAGAGGAAGTACTTGGTCGGCAAGACTGACAGGTCGCCGTACTTGTCAATGAACTTCCTGTATTCCTCGTACACCTTGGGATACATGACGTGGCTGGCGACGTCGCACTCGGTGATGGTGCCGCCGTATTTGCGGGCAAGCTCCTTCTTGACCTTGGCAAAATCGACAGGCTCGAGGAAGAGACCCGGACGCTTGTCGAGCTTGCGGCGGCCGCGCAGCGCATTGGTACGGAGAGGCTCAGGGAAACCCCCGTACGGCTGGCCCATCATTCCCTCAAAGAACTCGAGGACGGAGCCGGGGAAGTCGAGCTCGGAAGCACGGGCCTTGACGTCCTCTGGCGTAAGCTTGTTCGAGACCATAAACTGGGCGAGGTCACCAACGACCTTAGAAGTAGGCGTCACCTTGACGATGTCGCCCAGAAGGTCGTTGGCCTGTTCGTAAGCCTTCTTGGTCTCGAGCCACTGAGAGCCGAGACCAAGCTGAGAAGCTTGGAACATCATGTTGGTGAGCTGGCCGCCCGGAATTTCGTGCTCGTACACCTCTGGGTCAGGGCCTGCAAGATGCGCCTCGAAAGGCGAGTAGAGAAGGCGAAGCTGAGACCAGTAGGTATCGAGGGCGCGGACATGGTGGACATTGAGGCCAGGGTCCTTGTCAGTCCCTTCGAGCGAAGCAAGGATAGCGTTGATGCTGGGCTGCGAAGTCATGCCAGACAAGCTGTCGGTGGCAGCATCGACGGCATCAGCCCCGGCCAGGGCGCAAGCAACCATGGAGGCAACACCCGTACCCGCCGAGTCATGGGTGTGGACGTGGATCGGCAGGTCGGGGTACTTCTTCCGAATGGAGCCGACAAGTAAGGTGGCGGCATGGGGTTTGAGAACGCCGGCCATATCCTTGATACCCAGGACATCAATGTCAAGGGCAACAAGTTTGTCAACAAGGTCCAAATAGTACTCGAGGTTGTACTTCTTGGCGGGGTTGAGCATGTCGCCACTGTAGCAGACTGTGCCTTCGCAAACACCGCCGGCCTTCTGAACGGCCTTGATGCCGACCTCGAGCTGGTCGATGTCGTTCAGGGCGTCAAATACACGGAAGATATCGACACCGTTCTTCTTGGCTTGCTCGACAAAGTGGTAGATGGCGTTGTCAGGAAGCGAAGCGTAGGCGACACCGTTGGCGCCACGCAGCAGCATTTGGAAGGGAATGTTGGGAACCAGTTTGCGCATCTTGCGGAGACGGTCCCACGGGTCCTCGTAGAGGAAGCGCATGGCAACATCGAACGTGGCGCCGCCCCAGCATTCCAAGCTGTACAGGTTGTGCAGGGCGTGAGACGTCTCGGCGGCGATGTTGCACAGGTCGATAGTCCTCACGCGTGTGGCCAGCAAAGACTGGTGGGCGTCACGCCAGGTGGTGTCCATGAGCAGGCAGCCCTTGTAGTTGCGAACGGCCCTGTCCAACAAAGTCAGTCATTTCTTGCCTGGTGAGCGCGACTGAGTATCTCGGGAGCGAAGGCGGGGGGCGAAGCGACTTTCCCAACTCCCCCGACTCCCGGAACCTCTCGAAAGGGACAGAAGGAGCACGAATTTGACGTACTTTGCGAACGCTTTCGGCCCCTGGTCAAGTATAATCTGCCGCCAGCCCTTGGTGCATGGTACCGAGGTATCGATCTTGTTGCCAGCCTCGTCGAAGAGCTGGGGAATCGTGATCTCACCCTTGAACTTGGGCTCGCCGACTTGGCCCTTGATGCTGCTTCCGTTGACAGCCATGTCGCCCAAGTAAGCAAGCAACTTCTGCGCTCTATTCTGACCGCCAACAAGATCAAAGAGCTCCGGTGTGGCATCGATGAACTGAGTCCAGACACGCTGCTCAATAAACTCGGGGTGGGTGAGCAACGAACAGAGGAAGGGTATGTTCGTCTTGACGCCACGTATGCGGAACTCGACCAGAGCACGGATGATCTTCCGGCGGGCAATTTCGAAGGTACTTCCATGGCAGATCAGTTTGACCAACATGCTGTCGTAGTGAGCTGCACGAGGTCACCGGTTGTTAGCGGCGTGTCGCGCAGTTGAAGTTGAGAAGAACGTCAGTAGAGAAGGGAAAGGAAAGAAGAGGGCGGAAAGAAAGAGAAAGATGACCAAACCGAAAGGGAAAAAAAATGAAAAGGAAGAAATAAAAGCAAGAAGAGAAGAAGCGAAAAGGGAGAGAAGAAGGAGGAAGAGAAGAAGGAAAGGAAAAAAAAGAGAGAAACAATGAAAAAAAAACGAGAGACAAAGGGGGGAAAGGGAGAAAAAAAGGGCAGAGAAAATGGGGATAAAAAGGGAAAAAAGATAAAAAGGAGAAAGAAAAAGGGGAGGCGGGGGGATCGAGTCCTAACGAAGAGAATAAAGCGAAGGATATATGGAAGGCGACGTGGAAGATAAATATGACAAAAGAAATGTAAGTTGGCAGGAGTAGGTAAAAGCTTATAGCTAGGACAGCGACGAGAAAATGTGAAATAATGATAGGAACTTACGAGTAATGACCGCGCCGGCGAACCCGTTGCCTCCGTCTAAACGGACCCCATTACCACCTGCAGACCGATAGACTTCAATCTTGCCCGTGTCAGGTTGGAAGTTTTTCGAGGGATCCTCTCTGTCCAGCCATGTCAGTTTGATCCTTCATGCATAGGTTGTGGGAGCTGTCGAGGAGAGTAAGGCCGCTTCGAAGCAGAAGGCTCCCCTAACAGCTGGAATGGCAAAGAAAACAGAAAGGAAGGGGGGGGGGTCTTTTACGTCGTGATTCTGCACTGTATAGCGAATCCTCTTGTTGAGATCCGGTCCTGGGTCAGCCCCAACTGTTCCAGCGTGGCACCGGCTGCGATCTGAATCTGGGCGGCCACGATGTCTATGCCAGTGATTTCCTCCCTACCAACATGTCAGCTAACGGCGCTCAGAAGCGAGGAATGGTAACGGAAGCACGAACGAGATCGTGTGCTCTACTTGAATCCTTGGGTTGACCTGTTTTAACCTCCCCGTCAGCCACGGCTCATATGCAGTAAGATCAACACAGTCTCAACAAACCTCAATGAAGTAATACTTGTTGTCGCTCGGCGTGTAGAGAAACTCGACCGTTCCGGCATTGCCTTTTCAGAGTGTGTGAGCACGAGTCAGGAGTATTTTTTTGTTGTTGTGTGGTGGGCGGCTTGTGGGGAATGGCTGAGGTTGAAAGTGGGAGGGTGGGAAGAGAATAAGACGCCAGAGGTTACTCACGGTAGCCAACCGACTTTGTCAAGCGGACGGCATCATTCAGGATGCTCTCTCGCACCTCGGTAGGGAGGTCCTTAGCCGGCGCGATCTCGACGACCTTCTGGTGTCTGCGCTGGACAGTGCAGTCTCGCTCGTAGAGGTGAACGACGTTTCCAAAGTTGTCGCCGAGGATTTGAACTTCGATGTGCTTGGGCTTGTCGAGGAATCTCTCCACGAAGACAGTTCCGTTGCCAAAGGCGCTCTTGGCCTCAGAGGTGGCCCGCTCGAAGGACTCCTTAAGCTCCGACTCCTCGCGGACAACACGCATGCCGCGGCCACCACCGCCGTACGCAGCCTTGATGATGACCGGGAAACCGTACTGATCAGTGAACTGCTTGACTTCCTCAAAGGTCTCCACAGGGCCGTCGGTGCCGGGGACAACCGGGACCTTGGCCTTATTAGCAACGTTTCTGGCCGAGACCTTGTCGCCGAGGGCATCAATGACATCGGGCGAGGGTCCGATCCAGATGATTCCGGCGGCTTCCACTTTGCGGGCAAATTCTGCGTTCTCCGAGAGGAAACCGTAGCCTGGGTATGTTAGTCCCAACCTACATATTTCGGTATCGTAGCAGCGTACCCGGATGGATCATCTGAGCACCGTGCTCGACAGCAATCTTGACGATCTCGTCGCCAGCGAGATATGCGCCGACCGGGGTGTACTGGCCGCGTTTGCCAATGACGTATGCCTCATCGGCCTCTGTGTTCCCTACGTCAGCGCGCAACTCTGGCAGCCACAACCGCAGGGCCCGTGTGAGTGGCGCGTACTCTGCCTGTGCATCGAGAGACGGTCCTCATAGCTACGAAATTAGCAGCCGTACGGGCGGGACGAGGCGCGGCGGGTCTCACCTGAAGACGGCGATTGTGTGCAGCGAGAGCTCGTGGGCCTAGACATTCGACGTTAGAAAGTCGAAGAAAAGCGGCGTGGTCTCGCCGGCAGTTTCAGGTAACGACTCACGGTTCTGAAGATCTGCGGACCGAGAAAGGTCAGTGAGCATGTCATCGGCAGCGGACCGGGGAGAGAGAGCAGGTCATCGAAGTGGCACATACACGGATCGCTACCACGAGTCAGCGCTACTGCGGGAGAGGAGAGGAGAGTCTGGGACGACTTACGGATTTCACCCCTGTTGGCGACTGCCATGCGCAATGTTTGTTAGCCTCGGCGTCTAACCTCCCCTTTCAGATGTGCGTGGGGAGCGAGAAGGGCATTTTATGAAGGTGCCCCATGGCCCAGTGAGCATCGCAAACTCACCCAAAATCTTCTGGACCGCCATTATGGTGGAATTGGCGCGGATATGGTGCACCGTCTGGGCCTCCTTGGGCGCGTCGCCCTCCTCGAAGACGTCCTCATATTTACTATCTGGCTTGTCGGCCGCCATGCTGGGTCAAATCGTACGTGGTTCAGGCGGTCGGTCAGTTGCAGAGGAGGAAGACGGAGAAGGAAAGGGAAGGAGGGGAAAAAAGAGTCGAGACAGTCAGATGGGAAAGCGAAATGGTGGGGTGTTTGCGCTGCGCTTCTCGGCGGGTCCTTGCAGGGATATGACGACGGCGGGGTAGGACGCGATGGTGGGGCAGATCGAACAAAGTGGGCAAGCTCGAGCTCCGGCTATTTCTTATATAGACAAGACATTGTCTGCAGGTGCTTGACGACAACTATCCAGCTTGGCAGCGGCGAGACAGCCGACAAGGGGTGGGATGACCGCAGATACAGCACTTCCTCTACCGGACGATCCGGGCATATCACAATAAACCCGAGGCAGAAGGGCGGAATGAAAGAGTCGACGGGGAGGGGAGAATGGCCTGGAACTGAGGTGCGAGCCAGGACCGGGGTGGCCGCTGAGGGGATTTCTCACCCCCAGGAACAGTCCGAGTCACAGTCATCCATTCCATGATAGCGTTGAAAGGGCAATCTTGTGAATTCGATGAGGATCCTTCCGAGCCTTCGCAAAAGGTGGTCTCCGGATAGCTCCGTGGTTGTTGCAATCCACACTGCTAGATGGGCTTCTGAGTAGACAAGCATTGTTACCTTATCATGACCTTGTTCCCACACCCCGGCAGCGTTCCGCCTTGGATTCTCCTCGGACGACGACTTGACGAGACATTTCCAGTCACGGGACCGTCGCCCATGGAGGTGTGTTGGGGGTTGATGAAGGCTGCAGACAAAGCTTGTCGATGTCGGTCACTGATCAATGTTGTCTCTCCTCATGGCACTCGTCTTCATAGTGGGGCACCAGCCTTGGTTACAATCCGACCTGGTTTGTTAGCTAGCGCGGATCTTTGGAAGGAAACAAGACTGCGGTATTCATTCTGTCTTTCTCTTCATCCTCTTCATTTTTTTTCTCTTTCTTTTTCGTATTCTTAGATTTCTTTAATTTTTCATACTTCTCTTCTTTTTCCTTACTACTTTCTTTACCTTCTACATATTCCCATCTTCTTGTTCATTTTCTTACTTTTCTTTTCCTCTCTTCTCATTTCCTTTTTCTCACTGGACCGCCATGTGCCACGCTAACAAACAAACCAGGGTGGGATTGTATACTAGGCGCCCGCCAATTGCAGGCCGGTGATCGGAGGTTGGTCCGCAGCCAAAATTGAGTCTTGACAGGCTGCTCGGTAGCTCGGCCGTGGGGTTCTGCCCATGCCGACTTGACGTCTGCCACGGCTGAGTCTCAACTCAACCGCTTCACTGGCCAACGAAACTGGACTTGTATCCAAGCCATTTTGCTAAAGTCAACAGCACCGTCCGTAAGCCCCCAATTCCTCCCACGGAGACCACACACCGAAGGGGGTGATTGTACGGTAAAGCCGGCGCTACCCATCCCCGCCATCGCCAGCCTCGACGGCCCTCCGCGTGACGGTGTTCAACTGTCCGAGGTTCGTTGGTCTGCATGTTGTTGACGCGCCAATTTTCGCACACAGACAGCCCTGGAGTCGCCGACTCCCGGGTGCTCGGAGTATCAAATCTCGTCCACCTGTACACCGGCATTTTCGTCTAGCCGAGGACAAGTCCGTCCCGAAGACCAGGAGACCAAAGATTTCCGAGATCTCGGGTCGAACAAGGCCGACAGCCCCTGGATGCACCACCCAGCACGACAAGCGTCCTGCTGCTGGTGCATTTGACGAATGCGGGGATATCGGCAACACAGATACGCACTCATAAGCAACCCGCCCATTGGCTCAGCTGTCCCGTGTCTGGCACTACCTAGCGAGCCTGGCTCGCGGGGGTTGGATCAGTTTGTGTCCAAGCCCGGCCCGAGGCCTGCCTGGGAAGGTGGTGCATGGCAGATCTGGAGGACGACATGCAAATCTCAACTCTCCGCTGCCAAGACCGTCATTGCCTGTGTCCCGTTCAGATCTGGACATCAAATCTGGCCCCGCCAAGACGGAACACAAAAACGTCGTCGCGTCCATGATCCATCCGTTGTGTCCGTACATACTTGTCCTACCTGCCATTTTCTCCCAATCTGCGTGATTTACGAAACCAGGTATTGGGCATGTCCTCCCCAAACGCACGTCCGTCACGAGAGCGCTTCGTCATACAGCACTCTATTGCACGAGAGATGGCATGGTATAAACCGGCCACCGCTACAATGGGACATCCCACACCAGGCGAACCCAAAATGGAAATTTTGCGACATCATCAGTCATGGCGCTTTCTCAACCAACCCCCACGAAGACTGGAATTGGGTCCCTGGCCTGCCAAGCGCCGGCGCCGGAGCGATCTCTGGGACCTGAGTTGCCCTGATGAGTCTTAACAATTCAACCCTGTTCATTAGCGGACATGAAAAGGAACCAAGGAGCGTAAGAAAACAAGAAAGAGAGGAAAATATCTGGAATGTAAAGACAAGAAGTACGAGGAGGGAAAAGAGAAAGACAAAAGATAGAGAGGAAGAGTGAAGAAAAAAAATAACAATACTGAAACAGAGATAAGAAGAGGACGAAAAGGAGAAAGACGATGACAGAAAGGAAGAGAAAAGAAGAAAATAGAGAATTTTTAAAGGGGCCAAAGTAAGAGGCAAATATAGAGAGGAAGAGGAAGAGGAAAGAAAGGGGGAAACAACACGAAAAATATAAGATGCGGTGTACTGTGTAATCCGTAATACCACGTGGGGTCCGCGGTGATAACAGACCAAGGTTAAGATGTAATCGGACAGTGGGATACTGTCTTTGTCATCTCACCTGCGAGCCGTTGTCGGGTTCATTGCTTCAGCTGCAGATGAGGTTTGAGACCCCACATTGTTGGGACTGCAGATGGATCAACACGGGATTAAGCCAGACACAATCCCAGTCAGGACAGGCAAGTAACACATCACGAAAGGCAAATGCACAGGAGCGTCTCAGACGCAATCAATTGTGTAGCTAACCAGTAAATGGCAGAAATCGCAGACCATCCCGCCGGTCCTAATATATTTCCCACCTCGGATGAATGACATACAAATGCGGCTACCATTGACGTAGCGCCATGTTCGACAAGGCAGGCTTGACGCTGCATGCTGAGGAACTTGAAGCCCCTTCGGTAGAGAAGAAAGATGGCTGGTGATGTGGTGTTTTGTGCGGGATGAAGTGCTGCGATCTATGTTTCCAAATATGTACCCTCGAAGGCGATCCTAGCTGAGCCGGGCGACCTGGCCTGTCGAGTTCTCCCCCTCCCCCCTAAGAGGTCATGACAGCTGACCCGAGAAAACACAGAGAAAAGGCAGTGTGAAGGAAGCGCCTGCCCGAACAATATCAGCAAACGCCGACAGAGAAGAGAAGCAAGTCTGAGAAAGGGGAAAACGCACCCAAGCGTCGATGACGGCGCGGGCAGCGTTCCACATGGCGTGGAGGTCGCAGGTGGCTTTGGTGCAGAGGCCGGCGGGGCTGTTGCACCAGGCGTCGCGCTTCCAGCAGGAGCCGCCGAAGGAGCGAGTGCAGTACTTGGGGTCAGCGTCGCGGGCCATCTTGAGCGCGTTGCCATGCTCGATGGCGTCATTGACGGGCGGAAGCGGCGCGCTTAGCCTTCCAGCGCGCCTGGCCCTCGCTCAAGCACCGCTTGATCTTCTCAGCCACGACCTCGGAGCCATCGCGCTTCCAGCAGGACGAGCCGGCGAAGCGGGTGCAGAAACGGTCGATCTTGCGCTCCTGCTTCTCCGGGACGGAGCAGTCTAGCAGGGCTGGCCGTTGGACGTGACGCAGTACGGCTCGGCATCGCGCTTGCCCCAACATGGCTGGCCAAGGAAGCGAGTGCACCAGGGCTCGTCGGCGCGCTTCTCGTTGGCCTTGTCCGCGTCCGCCGCGCTGCGGGACGGGGTGAGAGAGCGGTACCAGTAGTCGGGCTCGCCGCGAGTGGCGGCAGTGGAGAGGGCGAGCTCGTGAAGCTGGCGGTTGACGATCCAGGCAGTCTCGCCGTTGGTCTCGTCACGGGTGGCGATCTCGTCGTTCTGGGCGATAGCGTCGGCGAAAGCGTCGGCAGCGCGCTTGACGGTGTCGCATGCCTGGCCCTCGGCGTGGCAGTATGTATTGTCATGATCCACGACCGACGCCGAGGCGGCGACGGCCAGGAGGGTGACGGGGAGAGTGAGCTTCATTGTGTCGAGATTTGCAGAAAGATTGTCTTGTCTGTTTCGAAGGGAGTGCCCGTGTTGTTGATGACCCTTATCGGATATCTTGACTTGTTGGTCGGATTGAGGAGAGGAGGGAAGGGTGCATCAGGAGGCCGAGACGGTTGTTGTTTTATAGACGTGAGATGAATCGTTATTGAGGGGGCTTTGAGGTTATTGTCTCGATGGTGTATAGACTCGGGCCCGAGGTGCGTGCAGCACACAAACTCGACCTCTCCATCCCCCTCAACATCAAAGACTATGAGCGGGCATTTCGCCACGGCATAAGAGACCCCTGGCGCTAGAACAGACACAGAAAAAGAGACGCGGGATCGAGACCGAAGATTCCACTGCTGGCGCGAACTTGAAGCAAAGAGTTAATTGAGATCCCAATAAGGCAAATTGTGTGCCTCGCAGTCGGAAGGGCCCTTATTCCACCGAACAAAGCATTCTGAGATGGCTGTCATGAGAAAGGCAAAATTCCGTACGATACATCAGTCGGTCAAGAGTACAGACTCGATGCCCAAGTTCTGGACTCGGTGTGTCCTGGACTGGGGTCCAAATGAGGTTATCCTGGTGTTAAGCGTCGAGTTTGCCAAGAAACCCTCACCCCCTATTGAGTGTTTCTTCAGACCCGTTTTAGAAAGTCTTCGCATGTTGATGGAAGGGAACAGCCGACCAGCTCTACGACTGTTCAACGGCGTCCGTCGCCTCTCGGACATCTCTTAAAGGGTGCAGTGCCAGATTGCAGGGTTGCTCAAGAGTGGGAACGTCCTTGCGGCTGAAACAGAACGTGGCTGTTGCGGCCACGAGAGCCGGCAGGGAGACGAGATGAGGCACTGGTGATGCTTTCTGTCTTCGATTCGCCCAACGCATTGCGCAGACACGCCATGAAGTCTGTTTCACTGAATCTCCGCTGCGCCAGAATCGAATATCAAGCAAATAAAGTATATATGGAATGTAAGAGAGTCAAATTGCGCTGCATTTTCATGGGCAAGTTGGTTCCGGCCTCTCCTCCCAGGGAGGGTCATGTCCAGCCGGCCTTCGAAGATGAAGTTTATCCGTCAAAGACCAGACCGCAGCTTGATCCACGCCTGCCTTATCTACACATGATTTTGGTGGCGTGATGCCATGGCTTTCACCCCTGTTCTTCAGTGAGGGCTCTTACCGCGACGCACGGCAAGACTTTCTTCGGGACTCCTTGCATTTCGGTCTCGACTGGCGAGCTACGGTTCCGCCGGCGACTCCTGAGCCTTTAGTTCAGTCGTCATGTTCCAAATTTACTCGGGCCTCCGCCCAGTGGCAGACTGGCAGTGTTGTTCGTCCCTGAATGGCTTCTGCGGTTTCTCGGCAGAGAATCCCATCCTTGAACCAACTCAGTGGACATGTCGATCTACTGTACAGTCAAGCGTCGGCAATCCTTCCCCACTTTCACTGAAAGACAAGGACCTCCACTGACCAGCGTGGTTGGTTAACTACGGTAGGTATGGAAGTTGTCGCAGTGGCTTCCGAGTTCCAGGTAGACCTCTTTTTTTTTTCTTTTTTTACCTTCCTTTTTTTTCTATTCTCTTCTTTTTCCCTTTCAATCGACTTGGAGCATGGGTACGGCCCAACCCTGATTTATTTGTTGAATATCTCGACACATGTTCTGGCCCAGAGCGCGTCCTTCACCAACCCAGATTTCGACTTTCCGAGTCAGCATTCTAGACCAGGATCTCCTCGATGGCGAGTTGCCTGGTAACCTACAGTACATGAGGTACCTTAGCCTGGAAGCTCTGACTTGCCAATATCACCACTTTGTCATTCCGCTCGATTTTGAAAACAAGCGGAAATACGGATACACTTGCACTGGCAATATTCCACATGACCCAGACATGTCACGGTGCAAACAGCCTGAGATCGGGGGGAATGCCCGTGGCTGTAGTGCTCTTGCAACCACAGAGCTTGACTCAGGGATATAAACATTTGGATCAAGGAATAACATGCGTTAGTAATTTTCTCCGTGTTCCCATCCGCCATGTTAACCACAACATGCAAGGAGCAATGGTTTCATAATCTGGGACCGAACACAGACACACATGAAAAATGGTGGTGTGCTGAGTTTTTCGGCTGTTTCTTGGGTTCCAGTCTATTATTGTCACTAAGTCACAGTCCTCTTGATAATCGGGAAATATTCTCATTCATAGCTCTGTTCTGTACCCTTTTCCCCTTGCACCTGGACAACGTATCTGCCTGGGAATGAATGTCGCATGCCCCACAGTCCCACCGGAGCTGGTACCATCTCACTTTTCCCCACTGCAGACAAGAATTTAGCAAAACAAGCCCAAGGTGGCACAGATGCCAAACCCAAGGTACCTACCCACCTATAGCCTGGAACAGATCACCCAGTCAAGCAATGACAACCACCATTCCTGAATTCAGCCGGCTCACAAGTACCTTACGTAGCCCCTCAACCCAGCGACTTTGTGTTCCTCTCGTGTCACCCCGTTACCGCTGCAGACTCCCTCAGCGATCGGCAACCAGGCTTCCTCCTAATAAACCTGGGAGGTGGGGCAAGAAACGCCGCCGCTTGAGGCGCTCTTGGTGTCACCTCGGCCGACGTGTCAAGGGTGACTATTTTCGGCGCCACAACCGCCGCCCGTTGACTGGGCAGAGTCCTCCTGTCATCAACAAGGGACGACCGCCTACTGCTGGATGGCGTCGCCGGTGTGATGACGACCAGAGGCGGGCTGCAATGGGGTATGGGCTGATTCTGAGGCATGCCCTGTGGCTGCGGTCTTCTCCGCGACTCTCTTGTCTGGGCCTCAGGGGTTGTGTGCGCCATGTTTGGTCTCGTACCAGTTCCTGGTACCAGGCATTGGGGAATTGGGCTGCCACGAGAGGTAATCTTGGCAAACATTGAGACCAAACTCTTGGCTGAGATGTTTGGGGTGATGGTTCTCAGCCCAGAAGTGGCGTTCCGGGAGCTTTCCCAGGATCCATGGGAGACATTGGGCGGGATCTGAGTCCCAACGGGCGGTTGATATGCTACGTAACACCTTGCTGATGTGCGAGAATTCAGCCCTACCTCTTTCTTAGGGCGTCCAGGCCAATCAGCGCAGTAAATTGAGCGGTACCCGCAGCTTTTGTGGTTGATGGCTCTCAGCTTTCCCTGGCACGTTGCTGGGACAGACCTTTGGCTTAGGCCATCTGATAATGACTGTGTTATTACGTCCCTGACGCCGAATTCAGCTGTCTGCGCAGGCATGCAATGAACAAGAAGGTTTCTGCGAGCCTGCAAAGGCGCTGTGGCTGACGAGATGTTGTCCATGCGGATGACTCTGAACGAGGATTCCGTTGGTCTGTTTTTATACAGTGTTTTAAGTCGATGAAAGGCCTTGACATGGGCGAGCTTGCGCCATTTCTCCCGTGTTGGCTCTGAGCGTTGCCCCTGAAACCGGGTTTCATTCATGGTTTTGGTACGGTTTCCAAGTGCAGGGTATCAGTGCACAGCGGTGTGTGTTGATGGGTTATCTGAGGTGCGCTCCTTGACCAGCGTGCTGACACGGAAGTAAAGCCCAGAATCTCATAAAGTGCACTCGGGTTAGGTTCTTCATATAAGGGAGCATTGGTGCTGCGGTGTAGGTACCCCTCCTGAACAATGTCTTTGTTTCCTGAAGATGCTTCACTCTAACAAGCATGCTGTTCAGTCTGTATGTTCCATAGCGTACTAAACGCTTCATAACGTTCTTTGATGGATTTTGTAAGTACATTGAACCACTTGAGCAACTGAGCATCACGCTCACTGCACATGTGCCATGATAAAAGCCCACGGGCAGTACATGAGCCATAAACTCTCTTTTCAAGCTCCGGGATTTAATAAGATTTTGAGCATTTAGTAAATTAGTAGCAGAAATCCTCGAGGATGATGGGGCGAATGTCTCTATTTCAATGGATGAGAAGCGTAAGACGGTATTTTAATGCAGGGACCTTGCTTCAGAATACCAAAGATTTCTTACTCAAGAGCCAGAAGGGAGATTGGCCAGACCTGCGCAATGCTTGGGACGTATTGTATTGAGGCGGTTCTGGGGGTGCTTTTTCGTTTGCGTGCTCAGGGGCATGAACACAAGCTTGATCTATCTCTCATGGTCAGCAACGGGCAATAGGAAAGCTGAGAGTGAAGGCCAGTCGTGTTGTTCTTTGAAACACGTTTGATATCACACCCGGTTGAGTGTCCGCAGGAGTGAATGGCTTGTACAGCATAAAGCAGACAGGAGTTTCCTAGCTACGGTACCGGTTACGTGCCACCTCAACCCTGTGTCTGGAGTAAGCTGGTATTTACAAAAGAGAGTATCCCTGAAACCCCGGAACACCGTCCGAGTTGGTTACAAAGATGTTCAGTTCCTTGATGAAACAGCTGAGTTGTTTTGTAGGTATCTAACGGATAAATGACTACTTTGTATTGACAATGTGCTTTATAGCAGAACTAGAAGTGGGTAAGGGATTTGTCGGTAGCTCAAGGCACCATTATTTTCTTCATGTTCGTCATAATAGACCCAAGTTTTAGTCACCGTTCGTGCTAGCACAGCTTGCCCTTGTCTTGATGTAGGCAGTCAAACTCTGAGCTGTTTCAGACTACTGACTATTCTATCAGACATCTGGCTTTCAGTTGCACCTTTGCTGTCTGGTTGACAGATCAACACCACAACCCAGGGCAAGGTTCTTGTCACAGGGGCGGCCCGCGTCACAGCAACATCAAGCAACAACCGGTGCCCGCGTGTTGCAAAATATTACAGGCTCATGTGCTCCCTTGAATGGATAGCACACCGGTTGGCACCAAGTGTTCACAACTTCAGTGAGTTGGAGTTCATAAGCTAAACGTTCTCCCCTTCAACGATCGCTCTTCGTTTCTTCCACACCGCCCTTCACATCTTCACAAACACCATCACCAACACCCTCCCTCCCTCTCACTCAAGCCCTTGTCAACCTTTTCCTTTTTTGCCTCCACAAAATAATCATGGTAGCCAAGCGCTGGTAAATTGCCAAGTCCTCGGGCTCAACAGTTCGACCGCGGTCATGGCCTGACTGGACAATGTTGTCCCGGCGGCTTTCGTGAAGGTGATTCACGACTACCTCGCGCCGTTCGCCGGGCCCGGCGAAAAAACCCCCTGGCACCACCACCATCAAGAGTTCTTCGTCCAGTTCGCCGACGACCTCAGTCAAAGGGCGGACCGGAGCGTGTCGGAGCTCGAGAACGGCGTTCTGAGCCGTCTGAACAGGAATGGATGTGAGTATCAATGGATCGGACGGTTTTTCAGTCCCTTTTGAATAAGAACACGGCGATAAGTGGCTCTAGGAAAGTGCGACACTAACAAGGCCGGCTTCCTCACAGGGAACAGGACACAGCACTATGAGCAGTTCATCATCGAAGCCGTCGTCATGGACCATCTCTAGGCCGTCAATCACCACAGAAGATGCACCTCAGGACCAGGGAGTGGGGGCAGGACCCGGTGAAGCTCTTCGCCAACATGTACGAGCTCAACGAAGCAATCTGCCACAACTTTGCCACAACTATGGTAAGTTCCACCCATCATGTTTGCTTCTGCTCTTTGTTTTGTGGCCTTCGAGTGCCTGGGTATTGGCCTGTATTCTATCCAAGAAAAAAAAGAAAAGGAAAACAAGAACAAAACAGGGGATTTCTTTGGCCAGGGGGTAGCTTCTTGACATGACTTCGCTGGACGGTCAGATCGCCATGTCACGGCCGGCAAAACAACCCTGAGAGGGCACCTCCTCGTCTCAGCGCATTGCTAGCACCTCGAACAAAACAGGCGTCGCTGACTTTCTTTACTTGATGTTTAGGAAGAGAAGGATCTGTTCATATTTTCTAGGAGGACTACATCGGGATGCCACAATCAGGGACCAAGGGAGGCCTATTAGGCAGTTGCGCGCAGATTTCTTGAAGCCAGAGCAGAACGGATGTTACAGGTAGCTGTCTGGCTCCTCTGGCAAGACGTGTAATCCCAAGAAGGTCACGGATAGCAAACTGAAGTCTGTGCACGAGAGTTATGGGATGCTCTGGACACATACATTCAGGGAGATTATGGTGCAAAAAAGGCATACCATCATAAGGTACTTTTAGGTGTCAGAAGCAAAACATAATAAATAGTTCTGCGTCAGCCGCGAATCGAACGCGGGGCCCATCGATGGCAACGATGGATTTTACCACTAAACCACTGACGCTGGAAACTATGCCTAAGAAGACTAACCAATGATATCTAAAGCCCTAAGTGACAGAAGGAATCCATGCTGAACTGATAATCGGCGATTCCCGAAGCACTAAACACAACCAGTATCCAGGCTACACATACTGCATGCAAACACGGCATGGACCCGACGACAAATGCAAAATGCATATAGCTCACGCAGGAAATATGTACGTCCAATCATTGCGGCCCTTCCCATGGCAGAGAAAGGGAAGAACCGCACCCAAGATCGAGCGCTGAAGGAAGGACAACCCCCCTTCAATTCCTCTCCATTCTGTTCGAAAATCTACGATTTGGGTCGTGGGTCACAAGCCAGACTGCGTAAGCGCAGCCTGGGGACCTCGTAAATCGCCTTGGAGCTAGTTTCGAGAACGTTGAAATTTGCGTTGTTCATGGAGAGGAAAAGGAAGAAAGAAATCAGCAATGGGGAAATTTTGGTGGTTTTGAGGTCGCAGGAGTGGGTCTCTGTGGCTTGCCCGAATGGCTTGCGATTGGGCCTGCAGGAACTGTGGCACATGCTCCTCTCTGACTTCCGGGAATCCAAGCTGGCAATCGGCCAAGCCGCAAGCAGCCGAGCCGCATTGTCGTTTGTGCCAACGTCAGTCGACGAACGGAATCCTCGCCCTCCTTCATCCCTCGTTCAGAAATGTTCTGAAAGCTTTGAGACACCTCGACGAACACACAATATACCGCGCAAAATGAACGCAGCGCAGACCGTTCCGGGGTTCTTGCTCCCGCGCCTGAGCTGGACTTCTTCCCTCTCCGGACCTGCATCTATTCCAGGGGCTTCGGCAGTTGTCTTTCAGCAAGCGAGGAATACCACCAAGAGGGCAGTACGGTATACGATATCAAGAAGGCTGCTTCATGCCGCGGATGCGAGCCCCATGAAGAGCTGCGGTGGCTTGAGGGTTAATACCAACAGCACCCGTCAGGCCAGGAGTCTGAGCAACATCGTCCGCCATCCCGGCCTCCGCCGCTCATTCCACGCCTCCCCTGAACGCAGGCGCGACCATCACTTCGACACGCTGCGCTTCGTACAACGCCTGCAAGAAGAGGGCTTTACCGAGGAGCAGTCCGTGGCCATGATGAAGGTGCTGAACGACGTCATCGAGGAGAGGTAGGCCTTACCTTTCTCTGCCCCATTCCTCTTCCCGAGAACTGCCAACTAACCCTTTACCCAGCATCCAAAACCTCACCCGCACCATGGTGCCGCGCGAAGAAGCAGCCAAGACGACCTACACACAAAAAGTCGACTTCGCCAAGCTGCGCAGCGAGCTGCTCTCGGCGGACAGCACCGAGTCCAACGCGACGCGGGCGGCGCACGAGAAGCTGACCAACGACATTGCTAAGCTCAGCTCACGGCTCCGCGACGAGATTGGGCGCACACAGGCCAGCGTGCGACTCGACCTCAACCTGGAGAAGGGCCGCATCCGCGAGGAGGCCGTGTCACAGGAGCTCAAGATCAAGGAGACCGAGACCAAGATCGAGCAGGAGGCGGCCGCGCTGCGCCAGCAGCTCGAGCAGGTCAAGTTCCAGACGCTGCAGTGGCTGATGGGCGTGTGCACGGGCTTCGCGGCGCTGCTGTTGGGTGCTTGGAGGTTGTTGATGTGAGGTATTGGGGCGTGCAGGGCTCTTGTTGTGTGTGTTTCTATTACTGCTTACGATACCAGCAGCTGAGCCAACACAGTTGTGTCTTTTGGGACATCACTGTTTGTCATGTGCAAAGAAATTAGAAGCTGTCTTTGACGCTTAGTCAATGCTGCCACAGATCCGATCATGGATGTTCACCATCGCTCATTGTTGAGACTCTCGATGGTCTTGCCTAAGCGAGTCGGAGTGTGTAACAGGACTACGGTGGTTATTGTTAGATGGTTCCTTTTCTATAACCGTGTATTATCAGCGAGTGGCCTACATCAGAGAGTGACCCAGCTTAATAGCTTTAGCAGGGCTGCATCTAACCGAATGTCTGATAAGAAATTGATATCGCTCCTAACTATTTTCATCGAATTTTGGCCTGCAGCCCTGCTAAAACTGTTAAGCTGGGTCACTGCTGATATGGGTCACTCGCTGATAATATACGGTACCGTATCGTTTTCATTGCTTTATTCTTGTATTTACTAACGTGATTCACCATTGACTCGGACACCCCATTGAGTCGGACACATTTTCCGGACTATGCCACTACAAACTGCCAAAAGTCCACCAGAATCTGATGCAATCAATTGAAACTACTCAGAATCGCTTAAGCTATCTATTTCTCCAGCCTCCGAGCATGTCCTTGCATTATGGCCAGTCTTGCGGCAGATGCCACAGAGCCGTAAACCCGTCCGACGCCTCTTTGATGGTCCTTCAATTTCCTCCTCAACGCGCTCTTCCTCGTCCACCATACCTTTCTCTGCCATTTTTTCCCTAGCTTGGCTTCCATTAATAGCCCCGCCATCTTGGAGACGCGTCCGTTTAGCTCTGCGGCGCTTGGAGAGTGCTTCGTTGGCCTCCTGAAGTGTCCGTACCTCGGCCTCCAAAAGGGTGATCGATGGGAAACTGCTTGCATTCCCTTCGAAAGCTGGTCAACAGCAGCTAAAATCGGAGTCGGAGAGCTTC